CTCTCCTTACAGAAGAAACCTGTCTCTGGCCTGGCCAGCAAGCCGACAGCAACAGTGGACGACTCTGCACGCGCAGCCGCCAGGAGCCGCCTGGCTGCAGTCAAGAGTGCAATGCGCCAGCGGACGAAGCAGTCTGGGGACAAGGACAGCATCGTGTTTGATGCCGGCTTCTTCCGAGTTGAGAGCCCCGCCAAGCCCCGCTCTGGTAAGTGTTCGCGAGCCCGAGAGCCCCAGGGCGGGCAGCACTAGGGCGATGGGGCGGCGCAGTCTGGGCCAGGGTTGGGTCCTGGTCCAGAATGAGGACTGGGTGGGAGCTGGGTCAGCGCCAACGGAGGGGGAAGCAGGCAGCCATCTCAGGGCGGCCCCAGTGCGTTCAGATACAGCTTGCAGAGGTGCGCTGGGTTCTGTGGGTCTGAGTTAAAGCTGTTGCCCAAATGCATTTGAAAAGCAATAAATGAACTAACTTCCCAACTGTAAAATGCTCCAGTCAAACTAGTGGGGGGGGGGTTGTTTTTGTTTTTGAGACAGGATCTCACTATGCAGTTTAGGCTGGTCTTGAACTCTCGATGTAGCTCAAAATGGCTTCAGACTTAGCGACCCTCCTGCCTCAGCTTCCAAGTGCTGAGATTACAGGAGTGCGCCACCATGCCCATCAGAACTTTTTTTGGTTTTGGTTTTGGTTTTTTTTGCAGAACTGGGGATGGAACTCAGGCCCTTGCACTTGCCAGGCAAGCACTTATTCTACTGAGCCATCTCCCCAGCACCCCCAGAACTAGTCTTTAATACTTTATTTTTATTTATATGGCACAGGGTCTAGCTATGCAGTTCAGAGTAGTGATCCTCCTGTCTCAGCCTCCCCAGCGCTGGGGTTACAGGGGTGCAACACCACACTGCGCTTCTGGGCCAGCATGGCAGGGCTGGTATGGCATGCAGTACCAGGGATCAAGCTCTGTACCTGGCACTTGCCAGGCAGGCGCTCAGAACACTGAACTATCACCCCAGCCCACGTTTTTAATACCTTAGAAAACCAGTCTTCAGTTTTTGTTTTTTATAAACAGTTTTTCAAACTACTTCCATTAGATCAAGCGTCTTTCTCTGGGTGGAGATTACTCATGTATAAGCCCTGGTGTCCACCAGGGGGCCTGTGTCCACTGAGACACCTTCTGCACGCAAACTCTAGCCTCCCTCATACCTGCAGGCCTTGGCTACTCGGGAGCCCGACGCTGGCGCTTTGGGTGTTAGAATTGGTGTGGATTTTCTTTGTTCTGATTTTCCTGCTTGAAGCTGCTGTACGTGAGAACCAGGAGTCTCCATCAGTGCTCCTTCCTGAGCAGGTTAGGGGTGCTGCTCCCCGTGCCCCCAGGCCACCCTCACCCTGGTGGATGAGGAGGTCTGTGAAAACACTGCCCTTTTGAACCTGAAGTTCAGTTATAAAGTGCAGTATGGCATGAGCTCATCCTGAAACAACAGGGTCCAGAGAGGCCACACCTGCCAGGATGCCTCACAGCCACCGCTACATCCTGACAGGAGCTTTTGTGCTTTATACCAGCTCGCTCACTCATTCTGTCTCTTCCCCTCCTCCCTTCCCTCCCCTGCCCTCCCTTCTCTTCCCCTTCCCCTCCACTCCCCCTCCTTTCCCCTCCCTTCCCCTTCCTCTCCCCCTTCCCCCTCTGCCCTGTCCCCCCCCCCCCGGGTCTCGCTGCGCAGCCTAGTCTCCCAAGTGCTGGGATTGCAGGCGTGCACCACTGCCTGGCCCTGTACCCAGCTGTGTAAATGAGGTTTGATCTTTTTTTCCAGAAATTTTTTTTCTGGGTACTTATATTTTTCCATATACTTATTCTAGGAAGGACTGGCCAGATAGCTCAGCAGATTAAAGCTCAGTAGATTAAAGCACCTGTTTAGGCAGATGCAGGGACCGGGGTTTGATCCCCAGCATGCTGTGCTGGCCCCGCCCCTGGGGCAGCTGAGATGGTGATTGACACTGGGCGACTGGGCGTGATGGCATGCGTCGATAATCCCAGCTCTTGGGAGGCTGAAAACAGGAGAATCACTACAAGACCAGTCTACATAGTGAGACCCTTAGACCCTGTACTAAATACATTAAATATATACTTTTCACACCCCTTGGCATGCTGGCCGCCAACAACTCAAGCCATGTAGCCGGGAAGAAAGTTGTGCGTCAGCAGTTCAGCTGTAAATGTTCACTTGTTTTTCATATCTTCCTCTTAGATCTTCCCACTCTAGCCATTATCCCCTAAGCCAGAACCTTCTGTTTCTCCTTTTCTGGAAAAAAAAAAACTCTTGTTTTCAGAGGTAGAGAGAAATGGATGTTGACAGTCTGCAGCAGCTCTTCTTCCCAGAGTGGTGGCCTCATACTCATTGGTGTGGGTCTGCTAAATCACATTTGAGATTAGCATGTCTGTATTGTGCCTTCTGGAATGTTCTCACTGGCTTTGTGTGTGTGTTAGCTTCCTTCCCCCTAGTAGAGCTCAAATGCGCTTTGGAGGTTACTTCTGTTAATGTTGCAACAGGAAACCGAGTCCAAGGAGGGCTTACCGCTGTCTGACACCTGACTCTGAGGGAGGAACCGGTAGGGCTTGCGCCATCTTCCTGGCCGCAGAGAGCAAGGAGCGAAGGCCCTCCGTGGTGCTGGGCTGACTTCTCTTGTCTTCCAGCACTTTCCTGTGATCCACCGCCACAAAGGCCGGGAACACCCACATCTCTCCCTGGAACGGTTCCCAAGAGCGGGGCTGCCGCCAGCCTTGAGAGGCAGATGCCATCACCAGAGAGCCCCAGCCCTCGGAGCACCCCAAGTGGACATGGTGACAAGAAGACTTTGTTTTCGAATACCCCTGAGAGCAGGTTATTTCTCTAATGTGTCCTTAAGAGTTGCACGTGTGGGTGAACTACATAGCCCTCACATAAAGCCGGCGCAGTGTGCAGGCACGCTTAATTGCATTTCAGCAGGAAATGTAGTTCAAACCCTTCTCATCCCTGAGGACGCTGAGGCTCACCTGTTCGGGAGGGAGCCGGGCGTGCGCTGTGCTCCCATGGGCCCAACAACCCTTGGGTCCGAGGCAAGGGTCTGAGGCAAGAGCGTTGCTCGAGCTTACAGGTTTGAGACCAGCCTACGCCACACAGCACGGCCCCAACCCAGAAAGTGAAGTGCCTGCATGGGGGCAGAGCCCAGCTCAGTGCCCGCCTGGGAAGCTGGGCCAGCGAGGTGCCTGAGCCCTGCTCTCCTCTGATGATGCCCACCCTGGGTGTGCACGTGCCCTTGGCGTCCTCTCATCAGCCTGTGAGGTGCTCCTGCCCGTTCCAAGTAGACGATTTTGACATTTGTTTATCTCCCTGACATTCAGCTTAACGTTGGTGAGACTGACTGTGGCACACATTCTTTCTGAGCCTGCAGCACAGCGCTGCCCCTGCCCCTGCCCGAAGTGCATGGAGCTCGAAGAGGGCGCCATGCTGGGGACATGGCACACGGGAGACGAGGCAGGGAAGTGGTAGTGCTTCATGCAGCAGCACGTATATTAAAATTGGAACAATACAGAAGATTAGCAAATTTGTGAAGCATTCCATATTTTTTAGGGCTGGCCAGATAGCTCAGCAGATTTTGGTTTTGTTTTGTTTTTTTTTTATGGCGGAACCAAGGATTGAACTCAGGCCCTTGCACTTGCCAAGAAAGCGTTATTCCACTGAGCCATCTCTCCGGTCCCTATAGCTCAGCAGATTAAAGTGCCTGCTTAGGTAGATGCAGGGTCCGGGGTTTGCAGGGTCTGGGGTTTGATCCCCAGCGGGCTGTTCAGGCCCTGCCCTTGCAGTGCTGAGATGGCGACTGAGACTGGGTGTGGTTTCGTGCTCCTGTAATCCCAGCATTTGGGAGGCTGACGGCAGGAGAATCCCTAGGAGTCCAATCTGTATACGAGACGCTGTATTAATTACAATAAATAAATGTAGTAATGCGGTGCTGGGCAGACTGAGCTGGTGAGGAGGGCCAGGCGGACAGCACACGTAGCTCCCAGGCTCGGCCTTCGCGCTGCTTATGAAACGTGTTGGCCTTTGGGACGAGGTACCTTAGGTGTTCAATCTGCGGGCTAAGCTACCAATGTATTACGTTTCCCAAATGCCGGCTGCTGGGCTGCAGTACGGGGCCTGTCATGTGTGGCCGCGCCCAAGCTCACACTTGGGGCATACTGCGATGCTCGCAAATGCTGATTGCCTCAAATTGTGCCGAAAGGGAACAGCTACTCGCAGATAAAGGACAAGGACAGTGGGAACTAGGAAGATGGAGTGCACTTTTGAAGAAACAACCCTGGAGCTGTTGAAACACTTAATAAAAGGCGAATTCAGAACTTCACACCGAGCATACCATAGTTCAAGGGACAGGCGGTGCGCCTCCCTCATGGGGCCAGGGCCCTTCAGGAGGGGCCGGGTGTCAGATGCGGTCCCACCACCAGCCCACTCTCTGCTCCATCCCTCCCTCCATAAAGTGTGGGCCGGGATCCCAGACCAAAGACAGCCGCGGTGCGCTGGGGTATCTGAGGAGAATGCTCTTTTCTTTTTTAGGAACACTGCTGTTGAAGGTGCTGGGTGTCCTGGATTAGAGGATTTGATCGAAGGGAACCAGGTGAGTCCTGGCCGTGTGGTAGAGGCCTGGGGCATCGGCTGCTTATCTCAGTATCCACAGCAAGCCCAGCATGCTAGCCAGGGTCAACACCGGAAACCCCCATGACACGGGCTCATTCTTATGTCAGTGGCTTTGCGTATTCCTCCACCTGCGTCACAGCCGGAGGTAGAGAACTAGGTCGGCCAACTTTGGCCACTGTGCAAAGCAGGCTGCGCAGTAACATAGTCACGCTCATTTGTCGGCACCGTATCTGGCTGCCTTGGGTGTCCCGGGACAGTGAGCGACTAGGGCCGACAGGCAGGATCACCCCGTCTCTAGTGTTCACTGCCTGGTTCTTCACAAAGAAGGGCTGCTGTTCTCAAGTTAAGTTGGAAGCCAGAGTGGAGGCACTTCTGAACAACCCTTCTCTCCTAGTATCCCCGTAATGTTATCCGAGGCCACTGTCAGGCAGCAAGACCATAGGGCTTATAGGGTGGTGTTCTTCAGCTCTGTTCAGAATGTCAAAAATACATATATTTTAGTATTTTATAGCAAGACTTTCACCTTCTTGTAGTTAAATGTAGTGGCCATTTTTACTTCCAGGATGTAAATAAAACAAACATGGAGACGGATTGTTTCCCCAGTGAAGCCCTGGGTTTGCATCTTGTGGGCGGGACAGCAGATGACAAGACAGTGAGCGAAGAGGAGAGTTCAGGTGTCATGGAAAGAATGGAACTCAATTCCTCCTTCACCGCGCAGGATGTTCAGATGAACAGTCCTGAACATAATAATGCCCCGCGCCAGAGGAGCCCCCTGCAAGAAGCAGCCGCTCAGACCCCTTGGCCAGCTAAGAGCTGTTCAGGTACAACAAAGCTTTGCTTGAAAATGAGCTTGGATTAAGGTGCTGATCCATCACATGCTGAGTGCCGGTTCCTACAGGTAAAAGCTGAAAATTGGACACCCATAATAAATGCCCCATGAAACAGTCCATAGTGTTGCATCCTTCTTGTCCCCAAAGCCCTCAGGAGATGAAAACCAGCCACAAACACTAATCCACGCTAGGCACAGGGACTTGTACCCTAGACCTGAGTGGGACAGTGGGGGAGCCAGAAATCCTCCAGCCATCACTTCTCTGCCTTTTGGCTAAGATCAAGTGTAGAAATCCTCCAGCCAGTTGTTAGTTCCTCCCGTGTGTGCATGAAGCTGGCCAGGTGTCCTGTTTTTCTCCCCAGTGCCGCCTCTGACTGTTTTGGGTCACTGTCCTGCAAACCTTACAGGTCTCTGGGCCGTGGTGGTGCATACCTGTCATCTCACACTGGGCTGCCTCAGGGTCCAGCAGCAGCAACAGAGCCAGTAGGGCTGCGCCCAGGTCCTTGTGATATGATGTGTTGGGTCTGACCTGCTTTCCCCGCACAGCACTCTGGGAGGGCTGTACATTTCCCGTCCTGCCCTTGTCAAACTGCCTGTGTATTTTTTTTTTTTTTTTTTTTTTTTTTTTGGTATTGGGAATTGAACTCAGGACCTTGCTCTTGCCAGGCAGGTACTTGTACCGCTGAGCTATTTCTGGATACTTTTAATGCTTTCAGCATGAATTTTTTTTTTCACGAATAAGGATAAGAAGTTTATTGAGACATTTACATTAAAAAATAGCACAGAGTGGCCTGTGTGTTTGTCTTTGTGCAAAAATTCATGTCTTTCAAAGCTGTGTCCATTTCTGTGACAATAGTCTTTAAAGTTAAAAATTATTTTTTCTTATTTTTCTAGTACTATTTGATACTCTCACCACCGAACACCGCCTTCTTGATTCAGTAAGTTTTCCAACTTAATTTAATATTCCTTAGTTGTCTGGACTGGTTTTATAAAGTGAATTACTATTTTTTCAATTTGTGTGAAGCTTGACATTATGTCATGTTATCTTTTTGATTTCAATTCCATTCGTTATTCATTTTCTAAAAAGAGGGTAGTTTTCTATGCTTATATACCCTAAAGTGCAGTACAAGGTTTCTTAAAGTGTTTCATTAGTACGTATTTGTCATATTGATCACATGGGCATTTGTGCCTGTGTGATTTATCTTAATTCGCTTTTCCTATCCCCTCCCCTCCAAGCCCTCTTCTCCTCTTCCCCTCCCCATTAGTACAAGCTTTGCTGCCCTTTGTTCCTGTCATAGAACACAGGCTGCCTCAGTGCTCCCCGGAAAGGTTCATTTTCCTGTCTGACTTAGGGATCAAATCTGACGCTGCAGATCAGCCGAGTACCTGGATGTAGGCGGCCTCGGTCACAGCAGGAATTTCCCGGCGCCCCAAGGAAAGCCTGTGGCAGCCTTGGCCTCACTCACCCACCCTGCAGGGACTCCTGGCCACCTCCAGGGCCCCCGGTTATGCCATCCTCATTCTTTTAGGTCCATTTCACTCCCACCAGGCCTTGCTGCCCTCCGGCTCCCTGGAGCTGGGCTCTTCCCCTCGGCATCTCCACCCGCCTCGCACCTTCCCGGCCCCTTCTCACCTGTGACTCCCAGGCACGTGCTGGCCCTGGAGCCGACCTGAGGAAGCCTGTGCTGGCCACGTGGGGTGGCACAGAGAGGGACACTGTGCACGCACTGCACCTGTTAGAGTGGGATGGCAGTACATGCTGTTCCTAAAATACAGCTGCAAATCCAGTTGCCTTAGTAACTGTAGATTCCCACTGGCTGGCTGGCTCATGTCTGATACAGACCAAGCCGTGAATTCCTCTTGGGCTTCTTTTCTTCTTTTGTTGTTTTTCAGCTTGGGGTGTAGAACCCCGCGCCTCACACTGAGCCCCAGCCCTTTTTTATTTTGAGATACCTGTTTTGTTTTTTAAATTATTTTATTTATTTATTTGGTACAGGCTCTCACTACACAGCTGGGACTCATAGTGATCCCCCTGACTCAGTCTCCCTAGCACTGGGATTATACGCATGTGCCGCCAAGCCTGGTTTTGGTGGCTGGCATGGCAGTGTGGTGTGTGGTACTGGGGATTAAACCATGGTCCTTGCACTTACCAGGCAAGCGTTTAGACTGCTGAGCTATCTCCCCAGCCCTGGAGACATCTTACTAAGCCTCCAACTTACCTGAGCAGTCGGGTGGCCTCACACTTGCATCTCACCTGCCTCAGCCTCCCAGAGTGCTGGGTTGCAGGCCTGGACCACCAGGCTCCTCTTAGGATTTAAATATTCAGGCCCGAGCTCATCTTACTCAGCAGCGTCACTGACCCTGGAGGAGACTCGGACGCAGTCAAGGCCTCTGCCAGCTGGCGCTCTGCATAGTGTAGGGTCTGCAGAGCTGCAGCCTGCGTGTGTGGACTGTCCCTTCCGGTATTCCTCGCCTCTCAGGCTCGGGAGATTGCTACTGCTGTTGCCAGCTTGAGTCTGCAGTGACCCAGCCCTGTGGAAACGGGGCGGCCTCAGTGACCTCTGTGCCTCCTTCCACAGCCAGGCCCAACCCACGGCGACCCCTTCACCCTTGCAGAATGGCGGCGGCGTTCGGAAAGGACCCGACTGGCCTCTTTCGGTGGGAACCTGATCGCCTTCTCCCCGCTCCGGCCCTCTGTGTTAGAAGAGCCAGAAGAAGAAGCCTTGTGAATTTAAAAATATGCCAGCGCTAGTCTCCCTGATGTATTATGTTGGAACTCTGGACAACGCGTAGCTGCATTCACTGTTTAACCCGTGTAGCCAGTGCCCCGGTGTTTTAATGTGCAGCAGTCACCCCAGTGGATTTTAGACGTGGTGCTTCCCGGGGGTGGGGTTTTGTACACTCGGCACATAGAATAAAAGGTAGACCTCGTCCTGCTCCATTGGCGTGAAATGCATGAGGCTAGTGCGAAGCATACTTATGTGGAGCTTATTGACATTCTTTTAACTTTGACCAAAATATTTACTTCCTTTTAACTCCTACAAGAATGCACTGACTAGCCTGGTATGGTGGCACACACCTGTAATCCCAGCTCTCGGTGGCTGAGGCAGGAGGATCACTGCGAGTTGAAGACCAGCCTGGGCTACAAAGTGATATCAAGGTCAGCCTGAGCTATATAGTGAGACCCTGTCTCAAAAAGACAAAAGATAAAGTAAAAAATTATGAGGCCAAGTGGTGAGAAGCCCATTCACGGCTTCCTTTACTTCTCATTGTTTCATTTGCCAGCAGCCGCTGTTTTCTTGAAGAGAATCCTCCGTCGCACTGCACTGCCCTGCCGTAAGGCCAGTGTCCTACAGCGCCTTACCTGTGGGACCGGAAGCAAGGGGCCACCTGCACCCGAGCAGCAGGAGGCCTCGGTAGCTCGCCTGGGGCCGGGTCAGCATCTCTTGGGAGGGCTGAGCCCTCACCATGCTGGGAGCGTGTTTACAGATAACCTTTCAAGATGGGGGAATTTCAAACAGGAAACACCTCAACACTTCAGTCCTGTCTCCACACCGGGGCTGGGGCCTGAAAACAGTGAGCTTCATTCCTCACCCAGCCCTGGGGAGGCTGAGATGGGAGGCTGCTCGTGAGTGCAAGGCCAGCCTGAACTGCATAGCGAGACCCGGTCTCCACACAACGCTCCTGGTCCAGCCCTCCCCGTGGCTGGGGCCATGGTGTTGCCACCACACCAAGCCCACATCTACCTTTGCTGTCAGGGTGTTCGTGATTCTGACCCTGGAAAATTTTTTTTTTTTTTTTTGCGGTACTAGGGATTGGACTCAGGATCTTGTGCTTGCCAGGCAAGCACTTATTCTACTGAGCTATCTCCCCGGCCGAGAAATCCTTTTTATGAATTATTTGTTTTGCAAGTGCCCTTTTGTGTGTGTGTGTGTGTGTGTGTGTGTGTGTGTGTGTGTGTGTGTGTTTAGGGAAGGGTCTACAGGGTGTACTAGATTGGACTCATAGTGATCCGCCTGTTTACAGCCTCCCAAGAGCTGGGGTTACAGGTGCGCACCACCACGCAGTCTCAATTGCCATCTCAGTGCGCCCTGGGGGCAGGGCCAGCACAGCAGGCCCTGGGATCGAACCCCAGCCTCAGCACCTGCTTATAGGCACTTTAATCTGCTGAGCTATTTGGCCAGCCCTAGAGTGCCCATTTCATAGACAAAGGAATTGTTGCTTCCAATTCCAGTAATTCTAGATAAGCCAAGATATTTTTCCCCCTAAAAGCAACACTTCCATTTAAGCATGAATATAGGAGCAAATATATCTGAAAGTTAGGTTGCAGAATTTAGCTGCTGAAAAACATTGCTGTGATGTGCTGTCCAAACCCCTCTTTGGAACCCAGGCAGTGCCCACCACCCCTACTCAGTGCCACCTGAGTCTGGACAACCCTAGCCGACTTATCCCGCAGCTGCCCCGGCCTCTGCCCTAGTGCTGTCCCCCAGGGGTGATGCCGCCCCTCCATTCCTTCTGTTCTGCCTCCTGGGAAGCCCGGCACGTCAACTGAAGGTCCAGATGCTGAGGAGGCTGGGCTGTGGGGACAGTGGTATATGAAATGAGCTCTCCCGTAGGCCTGTGCTGCAACCGCGGCTTGGCTGCAGTGTGCTCACTGACCGCAGGAAGAATCGCCATCTCTTTAAAAGCTACCTGTCTGACACTCTGGGTTTTCTTTCTACAGATCTAGAAATTTCCTAAAATCCAACACATGGAGATAGTCTCCCTGGTGTTAAACAGTCATTGATACCAGAAGTGAGAACTATAGAGATAAATTTTGGGTTAATGAGTGGTCAAATTCGGGCTTGGTGGCACTTGCCTATAATCCCAGCGCTTGGGAGGCTGAGGCAGGAGAATCTTGGGAGTTCAAGGCCAGCCTGGGCTACAAATGAGACTTTGTCTCAAAAAACAGGTTTGCTGTGTGGTTTGCAGCAGCAGCAGCCGCCCCACCCGCCTGGCGTGGCCAAGGCACCCGGCTGCATCAGGAGGGGCTGAAGCATCTGGGGCCGCGCAGGACACTACCGTGTGTGCTTGGCGCTCCTTCGGTAAAACCAGCCCTGCTGCTAAGCAACCAGAACGCAGACAGGAATTGCTGGGACTGGCTTCCTGCTCACCTCATTTCCTCCTCTCCTGGAGCCAGGAAATCACAGAGCTTTCCTTGAAGCATCTCCTAGTTGTAGGGATACAGACCAGAGATTTTGGGGGTGCTTGGTATTTACTTTTGGTGGGAGAAGGAGGTACCAGGAATTGAATGCAGGGACTTTTCATGAAGCCACATCCTAACTAAGCCTTTTTGGGTTTTTTTGAGACTTGAGTCTAAGTTGCCCAGCTTCAGCTCAAACTTCGGCTCCTCCTGCCTCAGCCTCCCGAGTACCAGGATTACATGCGTGTAGTCCCGGCTCCCACTGCTTTCTCTTTCTCTAAGTGGGCTAGCAGCGTAGGCTTCTTAGGCCGTAGGCTACTTAGGCAGCCCTCCTGGAGTGTTAGCATTGTTGTTTCTTTTTCCCTGGACACTAGTAAATAAGCTGCTCTGATGAAATGACTGGGGGGAGAAAGGTGACTTCGCATGACATTTATTAAATGATTGACTTACGAGAATATTGATACATAAATGTAAAACTCTTCACACGGAGTGAACCTGGAGCCTGTGAATGGGCAAGGTTTGGACTCGATCCTTTCTACGTAAGCATCTGCCTTCCCGGATTATATCATGGTGTAGGATGCACTGGTGAGGTTTATGTCGCCAGAAATCCCCAGTCTGTTGATTGCCGTGAAGTTCCTCACCCGGTGGTTGTACTGCAGCAGGTGGGCGTCATTGACCGCCACCTTGAAGTGGTCAGGTTCCACCAGGACCTGGATCTGCAGGGCGCAAACACAGGGTCAAGGCTGTGAGTGGCGCCTGTTGTCACTTCCCGCGGCCACCACACCTGTATCATTCCTGTCCATTTACAAGAGGGACCTGGGAGTGATGGTTGTCACCTAGCCCTAGGGAGGCTGAGACAGGAGGACTCTCGTGAGTGCAGGGCCAGCCTGAACTGCATAGCGAGACCTGGTCTCCACACAACGTGCTTCAAGTGTGTGGGGCTTTAGAGCGATCCCCTCTGAGCAACAGTAAGAGGGCCCTGGCTTACCTTGAACTGTTTGCCTATCTCGAAGGGGAAGGCCTGCTGCCGCTCCTCCCGGCCCCAGGCATTGTTCTGCTTGGTGTTGCACACGATGACCCGCCTGTTGTTCTCGTTGAAGCGCGGGTTGAAGTGGAAGGCCACGTCATTTCCTTGCTTGAAGTCCAGGGCCAGCCTGTGGGGACCAAAGACCAGTTACAGAAGGGGCCGCAGGGGCGTGCATTTCCCAGAGCCCATTGCTTCACAACACACAGCAGACGCTCTGAGCGGCAGCAAGTAATGGCAGAGTGGGTTCAACAGAAATAGGTGGGGCACGATATCCCATATGGTCAGCCGGGCATGGTGGCTGTGCCTGTGATCCCAGTGCTAGGGTGGCTGAGGCAGGAGGATCTCCTGAGTTCAAGGCCAGCTGGGCTACACAGTGAGACACTATGTCAAAGGGGGTGGGCAGAGAGATGGCTCAGGATAAGTGCTTCCCTGGCAAGTGCAAGGGCCTGAGTTCAATCCCTGGTTCTGCAAAAAACAAACAAAAGAAAGGCCCAGGTGATAGCTCAGTGGCATAGTGCCTGCCTAAGTTTGATTCCTGGTACAAAAAGCCTTGCAGCACCAAGCAACAATGTTTCAGTTTACTACCATCGCTGCTGCCAGCCAGCACTAGGGAACTACCGCAGGCTCAGGGTGCATCTCCAGTGTTCCTGGCACTAAGTCTCCTAAGAAGTGACCTCAGGGTGCGAGTGTTCATGAACCTCACGGGAGGGAGACAGGTCAAGCTGCGGGCACACTTGCTGTGTTGGGGTCACATGGCCAGGGCCACAGGCAGAGGGGACTCCAGGGCCCCACGAGTGTCCACACAGGCAGTGTGCAAAGGACGGTGACGACTGGCACAGGGATGGAAGCTGGGGAGGAGAGAGTGGCTATGTGGTGTGAATCACGGGGTGAGAAGCTGGGGAGGAGGAGAGAGTGGCTATGTGGTGTGAATCACGGGGTGAGAAGCTGGGGAGGAGAGAGTGGCTATGTGGTGTGAATCGCGGGGTGAGAAGCTGGGGAGGAGAGAGTGGCTATGTGGTGTGAATCACGGGGTGAGAAGCTGGGGAGGAGAGGGTGGCTATGTGGTGTGAATCACGGGGTGAGAAGCTGGGCCTCTGGGGAAGGAAGTGGCCCTGGCTGACTCACAGGAGCTACGTGACAGGTCCCTGCAGGCATTCCGGAGACCCAAGCGGGCTGTGCGCACTGCCGGGGAGCCAGAGACCCATGCTCAGTGTAGCCACAGCCAGCGCAGGGCAGGCACGGGGGCGACCTTGGGCCCTCCAAGCCCGGAAGCCACCAACAGCAGACTCTGCCTCAGCCTCAAAGACAAAAAGGACAGCGTGCATAGCAGGATGCAGAATAAGGTACGTTGCCATGTAGGTTGAGTTTGACGCCTGGAAAAATTATGCAGGAACCATGTTGACAGGTGGGTCCTCTATTATGGTGGAGCCAAGAGGCTACCTGCGTAGTTCTAAAAATCCTGCTAAAGTACACAATGAATCACTCTGTACTACAGCCAACCAACACCACCCGGGGCTGCTCTGGGTGCCCCCCCTACCTGTTGGCGTTGGGCTTCACGGTGCCCATGATTGTTATGAGCATGCGCGGGACGACTCCACCAGGCAGGGGAAGGTCGTAGGGCACAGTCTGTAAGGGGACAAGGACAGAACGTCAGCCTGGAACCCCATTTGCTTGGGAAAAGAAAAACAATGACACTGCTGAAGTTCCATCCTGGCTGACAAGTGTGAAGGCGACACAGCTCCAGGGTTTAGGTCACCTCACCCACAGCCTGCAGAGAGAAGACTTCCCCTACACAAAGGATCATCAAGGTTAAGCCCTCGAGAGGAGAAAATGGGGCTGGGTGTGGCTTTGCACGACTGTAATTCTAGCACTTGGAAGCTGAGGCAGGAGGATTGCTACGAAGTTTAAAGGAGCTGGGGAGATAGCTCAGCGGCACAGCGCTTGCCTGGCAAGTTCCAGGTCCTGACTTCAATTCCTGGTATCCCACCAAAAAAAGAAAAACATGAGTTCGAGACTAGCCTGGGCTACATAGTGAGCTCAAGGTCAGCCTACACTGCGCAAAAAAGAAAAACAAAAAAAAAGTGGGTCATGACGGTCCTAACCCATCCACATGGACAGGAGCCTGCCAGGGCTCACGCTGTCCTCAGGACGCCCTCCGGTCACAGGGTACTGAGCTGAGCCAGGATCCTCTCGGAACTTCGTTTCCCTTAGGAGTCCCTTACTAACGTGCATTGTAACGTGCACGAAAATTCAATCCTCAGGTCTCATAGTTTTTTCAAAAGCAGATGACCTAGCAAGTGCAAGGTCCTCAGTTTGATTCTCAGAAAAAATAAGAACTCAAGCCCCCTCCTCCCTGCAGCCTTCACTGGATTCCCACTAAAGCTGCTTTACCACCGTCCTTAGAATGGCACCATCTCCTTACACTGACAGTAAACACAGCTCAATACAAGCTCGTGTTCTGCGATTGGGCCAACGTATACCTGTGACTAGGCACTGGGAAGCAGCTCTAGGAGCAGGGTTCAAACCGAGGCTCCCTGAATGTTCCCTGGGCCCCCAAGTCCAGGCGAGGCCTTCCCCATCTTACCAGCGGTCCAGAGGGTGCACTGTAGGGGCTGGCCCCAGGGTAGGCTCCGGGCGCAGCCCCAGGGTAGGCTCCGGGCGCAGCACCGGGGTAGGCTCCGGGCGCAGCACCGGGGTAGGCTCCGGGCGCAGCACCGGGGTAGGAGCCAGGTGCGCCGGGGCCTGGATAGGCTCCTGGGGCCTGGCCTGGATATGCTCCTGGGCCTGCCTGGCCCCCAGGAGGTGCCTGTCCTGGGTAGGCCCCCGGAGCAGGCTGCCCGGGGTAGGCACTACCAGGATAGGCAGCGCCTGGGTAGCCCCCGGCTCCAGGCTGGTTCCCCCAGGCTCCGGGCCACCCTTGAGGATTCGGGTGTCCAGATCCAGATAAGGCATCGTTGAGCTGGAAAGAGACAACGGCAATCAGGGGATAGAAGACGGATAAGGGGAAAAGCAGCACACTCCACCTAAGTAGCTGCTGGAGAAACAGTGAATGGGTGAAATTCACATCTGCGCCGCCCGTGTCACACTTCGAAACAGTTTTGAGTTCCAAAGACTGAAATTAGATGGTGGAGCCAGCATGGCGGCGCATACCTATAATCCCAGCACTTGGGAGGCTGAGGCAGGCAGATCACCTTGAGTTCCCAGCCAGCCTGGGCTCCACAGTGAGTTCAAGGCCAGCCTGAACTACTGGTGACGAGACCCAGTCTCAAAAAGCAAAATAATAATAATAATAATAATAAAATTAAAATGAAGCTAGACTGTGGGACTCTACACTATGGGATTCTTCCTTCCTCCCGGCCTGAGTAGGCTCTGCTGCACCCACAGGCTGCAGATTCCGTTTGGGTGCTGACTGCACTCGCACTGGGGTGAGAGGGCCGCTGTCACCCCGTTCCTCCCCACGTCTACTGCTGAGAGAGCAGGGCTGCAGCTGGCCCAGGGAGGCCATGAGCCGGAAGGGAAGGGAAAACGAGGCCCGCAAGAAGACGGGGCACACTCACCGAGAAGCCGTCTGCCATCCTCCTGAGGGGGCAAGAGAGAGAGGGGTCACCGTGAGCGCCTAGGGGCTACCGCTCCCGTCGTGGGCACACACAGGCTGAGGGGCAGGGTCAGCAGGCTGAGCTGAGGACCCAAAACACCTCAAAGGGGCGGGGCCGTGGTAGGGGCGGGGCCACCCAGCCCAAAGCAACTCTGCTTCCTCCAGCCTGCCTCCCAGACCTGGAAGGAAGAGCTGTACTACTTTTACTCCATATATATATATATATCTCCAGAAATCGAGCTCAGGGGCCAGCCAAATAGCTCAGTAGATTCAAGTGCCTGCAAGCAGGTGCAGGGGCTGGGGGTTTGATACCCAGGCCTGCCATGCCAGTCCCGCTCCCCAGGGCGCACTGAGATGGCAATTGAAACTGGGCCTGGTGGCATGAGCCTGTAATCCCAACTCTTGGGAAGCTGTAAACAGGTGGATCAGTATGAGGCTGATCTAGTAATGAGATCCTGAACACCCTGAAGACCCTTCCCTAAAATTTAAAAAAAAAAAAAAATTTGAACTCAGGACCTCACAATTGTGAAGCAGGCACTGAGCCATCTCCCCAGTCCTGCTCTGTTATTTTAAGTACTAACCTTGTCCCCAAAGATCCAATAAATGCCAACTACTAGATAGGTCCTAAAAATGTACATTTTTGGTTTTTGAGACAGGATCTTGCTATGTAGCCCAAGCTGGCCTTGAACTCATAGTGATCCTCCTGCCTCAGCCTCCCGAGGGCTGGGTGGTGTGCACCACCATGATGGACCTAAAAGCAGACAACATGGACTTTTCCTCTGAAATCTCAAGCAAGCAGAGCTCCTCCTAGGGCTTAACATGGGCGGCTTTTATGCATCCCCGCTACTCTGACACCCCGCCACTGTTATTTCTACCACCTTTGGACATATAATAAATTGCATTTTTGCACACCTCTCAACCTGGGTACCCTCGGCCCCTTCCAGAGCCCCCTTCCCTGGAGGTAGAGATCATGTCAGCCAGACGAGGAAGCCACAGGGCTCTGCCAGTTCCTCTGAAAGGAAAAGAGGGGGCCCCTCCCCTGTACCCCTCCTAAGGCAGTCACACCGCTGGTGGGGAGCGCTGACCCCAGGGAGGCTGGTAGAGACAGAAGAGAGGGCGCTTCTTAAGAAAGCAGAGCTCAAGGGCCAGTGAGGTAGCTCAGCCAACAAAGGGCTGCTTAGGCAAGCGTCGTAGGGACTGGGGTTCGGGTTCGGATTCGGGTTCGATCCCCGGCACCACAGGCCGTGCCAGCCCTGTCCCCAGGCGCGCTGAGCCAGCCTCTGAGTCCGGGTGTGGAAGTGCAAACCTGTAATCCCAGCCCTGGGGAGGCTGAAAACAGGAGGATCACTATGCGTCCGAGCTGTGTAGTGAGACCCTGTACCAAATACATAAATTTTTTTTTAAAAAAGAAAGACAGCAGAGCTCTCTCCTTTTGGATGTCAGTGGGAACCAACCTTGAACCTCAAAATGGGCCAAGAGCCCAGTGCCTTTGGCGTCCTCCCACTTTTCCCTCTTCTGGGCAATGCACCAGAGACCTGGCAGTAGCTCAGACAGCATTTCCAACTCTTTTTTTTTTTTTTTAAGACAAGTTCTCGGGGCTGGTGAGATGGCTCAGTGGTCTAAAGCACCTACTTGGAACAAGCTTGGCAAAACACAGGGACAGCGGTTCGATCCCCCAGCACCACATGCCAGCCAGCCCCGCCCCCTGGTGGGCTGAGCTGGCCACACACACACACACACACACAATAAATGTTTAAAAAATAAAATAATTAAAAAAAAAAAAAAGACAAGTTCTCACTGTGGCCCTCACACTTGCAGTGATCCTCCAATCCTCGTTCCTCAGCTTCCTGAGTGTGGATTGTACTGGGTGGCAGGTCACTGTCCTGTGCACTCTTTGGTGGTGTCCCTAGCTTTGCCCCTCAGATGTGAGCTGACTTGTGGCACATACCTGTAATCCCAGCACTCAGGAGGCTGAGACAGGAAACCCCCAGAGTTCGAGACCAGCCTGGGCCACACAGTGAGCTCAGGACCAGCCTGGACTACAGTGAGACTCTGTCTCAAATGCTAAACTAAACCCAAACCCTGCACTTTGACATTTCCAAATATCATCTTTTGCAAGTTTTCCTCATTGAGAAATTAGGTCGCTGGCTTATCCTTTTCGAACCTCACAGTACACTGACACAGTAAACAAATTTTAAAACATGAGATCTTGTTTTTCTTCAGAAACTGAGTGACTCACTCAGTAGACAGGATGCCATTCCGCACGCCACTTTGCTATTTATAACCACATTTTACCCAACACTGGGTACTTTTGCAAAAATTGGGCATGGATTTCTTGGAGTACATCAGCTGCCAACCATGAAATCTCTGTGTATGTGTGTTTCTTCTGCTTGATACAGGGTCTCACTGTGTAGCTCAGGCTGGCCTCAAACTCGAGATGATCCTCCTGCCTCAGCTTCCCAAGTGCTGAGACTCTAGCTGTGCAGCACCATGCTGGGCTTGAGATCTCTTTTTATAACCTGTATTCTTTTCAGGTCCAGATTAGCAGCCTCAGCGCCTGGGGCCCAAGGCCGGAAGATCTACTCACGTAAATATAGTCTTTACTTGCCTACATGGTTTTGTTTTTGCTTTTGGTACTGGGGATTGAACTCAGGACCTTATGCTTACCAGGCAGGCGCTTATGCCACTGAGCTACATCCCCGGCTTTTTTTTTTTTTTTTTTGATGGACTTTATAAGACTGGGTGTGGTGGCTCGCGCCTGTAATCCAGCTCTTGGGAGACTGTAAACAGGCAGATCACTATGAGTTGGATCTTGTAGTAAGACCCTAAACAACCTATAGACCCTTCCCTAAAATTAAAAAAAAAAAAAGATGGAATTTACAAAGACACAATGAAATAAAAAATCTTCCCCTCTACAGATAGTACAGAAGCGAACTCCAGACTGGTTCTTCCAGAATCAGAGAATTTTGAAAAGCCAGAAAAACAAAGGAAAGGCTAGGAGTGGTGGTGGACACCTTTAATCCTAGCACTGGGGAGGCTGAGGGAGGAGGATCGCTGGGAGTTTGAGACCAGCCTGGGCTACAAAGTGAGCTCAAGGCCAGCCTGAACTGCATAGTGAGACCCTGTCTCAAAAAGACAGAAAAAAAGGGCAGTGAGGTGGGGAAGGAAGATACTTCCTGGGTCTGCACGGTCAAGAGGTAGCTCCTCGTGGCTCCAGATGAAGGGATCCTGGCCTGTGCACAGCAGGAAGGGCAGGCCAGGGCAGCTGTCTCTTTAGTACCAGTGGTCTGCACCACACTCTTCCTTCTCCACCCACCTAGTAATAAATCCAGCTGGGCACCCCAGCTCCATTCTTGTGAAATCCCTGCTCATAAATGGCCCAGCCTTGGGGTGTTTCCTGGGCCCTAGGAGCCCCCCATATTCCTCATCTGAAACCAGACTGGCTGGGCTCCCTCCAGCTCAGCAGAGAAAGACAGACAGACGCCAAGCGGGCAGGGAGAAAGGAGGCAGCTCTCCTAGGACGTCCCCCTCCGCTCCCACGCGCTCTGCCCTCCACCCGCCCCCCCTTCCCCTGCTCCACAGCAACAGAAGCAACAGCAGCCAGGGGAGCAAAGTCACGCTGTGTTTCCCGTTGCCCAGTTTCGCCCCTGAAAAAGCCAGAAGCAGTCAGAGGAAGCCGTGAGCCTCAGCCCGCTGCGAGCTGGAAGGCCCCAGCCCCGGGCCTGCGGGTCTACAGCTGCCGGCAAAAAACAGAGTCAGAACCACCCCCCACACCCAGGGGCCTGTCACGCTATCCGGGAGCCACAGGCCAGGGGACTACCGGGCATGCCTTCCCGGAATCACAGGTCTGGTTTCTTTGTTTTGTTTTTTTGTTTTGCGGAACCGGGGATGGAACTCAGGCCCTAGCGCTTGCAAGGCAAGCGTTTATTGGACTGAGTTGTCTCCCCGGTCCCCCTGAGTCTCAGGCCTGGAGAGCCATGGTCCCCGAGAAATTCACACACAGGACCTGCTGCGGTGAGAAGCTAGAGCCTCGCTGGCGGGACAAGAGGGTGCCCCAGGGATTCCCCATGACAGCAGAGGCGCTGCTGGAGCCTAGCGAGCACCTGTGGGACACAGCTGCCAGGGACCTTTGTGTTTGGCAAGGATACCAAAACGCTCTTTTGGGAGCCGAGCGCCGTCCCCCTGTATTGCCTACGGCTCCAGTCCTCCAAAGGGCAAGGATGCAGCTTCCAGCCTTGGGGTGGAAGGCCCTGCCTGGAAAGCACTCATTCGGTTGAAAGGAGCGGACTGGCCCAGTGTAGGGGTACATGCCTGTGATCCAGGCTACCTCCAGCCGAGGCAGGAGGATCACCGGCGGAGCCCAGCCTGAGCAACTTCATGAGACCCTGTCGCAATACGAAAAGGAAAAATTGGCTGTAGCTCAAAGGTAGCACATCTCTGGGCTCCATGTTCAGCGCCGGCAAAATAAATGGACGTTGTTGGTACAAAAAGTAAAGTTTGCTGACTCTTTCGTTCTTCTTTCTTTCTTTATTTATTTCCTTTTCTTTCTTTCTGAGACAGGGTCTTGCTTGCAGCTCAGGCTGGCCTTGAGCTCACTTTGCAACCCAGGCTAATCTTGAACTCCCAGCAATCCTCCTGCCTCAGCCTCTGTGGTGGTACTGGGGATTGAACTCAGGACCTTGCTCTTGCCAGGCAGGCACTTATTCTACTGAGCTATCTCCCCGGCCCCCATGCGTTCATTATTGAACTTCACCACAGAAGCAAGCAGTTGCCAGAACGGAGTTCACAAGTCAGCGAGTCCTGAGGGGTTCATCCCATCCCTAAGATTTCCCCGGATTCTCCAAGCTGGCCCCGTCCCCCAGGCGCAGGCGCCCTGTGACCAGAAGTCCAACACCTGGGTCACTTTCCAGCGTGGACCAGGCAGGGCTGTCCCCGACGCTGACGCCAGGAGTTGTGTTCCGAGCTGGGTCCCAGCCCGGCCACACCCACTGCCCCGGGATTTGGGGTCGCAGTTCCCTCTTTGCTGGGTGGGGGGGAGGTGAGGGAATCGCAGGGTCCCCAGAGGCCAGACCCGGGCGCAGGCTCCGGAGGGTCGGGATCGGACCTGACTCCAGAAACCCAGCCCGGCCCCACTCACCCGCTGCTGCGCTGCTGCTGCTCCGGCTGGGCTGGTGCGGGCGCGGCTGGCGGGGCGCTCAAGTACGCGGCCCTGCGCCCTCCCCGAGGCGGCACCGGCTCCACCCGGCCACGCCCTGGGACGCGCTGGGGACAGCGGACAGCGCCCGCCCACGCCCAGGAGGAGGGCAAGCCGGGCGGAGTCTGCGCCCCGCGCTCTCTGCTGCCTCGGCCTCTGGTGCTGGGACCCCCTCTGCCTTCTCAACCTGATCTGAAGCCCTCCGTCCAGATCACCAGGCCTGGGCCTGGTCCTGCCCCTACCCCTGCCCCTGCCTTTTTTCCTGCCCATGCCCCTGCCCCAGCTCCGGCCCAAATACCAGTGCTGACTGGCTCTAAGAACCCTGGGGTTCTTCAGTGTCTGCCTCCCTGGTTACCCCTGGGGGGGGGGGGAGCGCATAAATGGTTCTCAGGTGCATAGTAGGTTCTCAAGAGATGTTTGTTGAATGAATGAATGAATGAATGAATGAATGAATGGAATTACTTTCCAGGAAATATGTTTTTTCCAAGACTAAGGTACTGGGATTCCTAGCACTCCGGAGACTGAAGCAGGCAAGTGAATTACAAAGGAGACCCTGTCTCAAGAAAGGAAAAAGGGGGCGGGGGGGTGGCGATATCTCAGCTGTCTAAGCGCCTGCCTGGCAAGTGCAAGGACCCAAGTTCCTTCCTCAGTACTGCATGCAGTGCCGGACTCGCGCTGAGCTGGCCACTGAGACTGGGCCTGGTGGCACACCTCTGTAATCCTAGTGACGGGGAAACTGAGACAGGACGATCACTACAAGTCCAAGCTGTATAGCAAGACCCTGTACCAAATAGATGATGATAGATAGATAGATAGATAGATAGATAGATAGATAGATAGATTCCTTTTAAAAAGGAAAAAAGAAGAGATTGAAGGAGACTCCTGCAAAACAGGGAGCCTTAAACTCTGAGTACCTTCGTTACAGTCAGGAACTAGAACGGAGCATATTGTGTCGAGGGCTGCTACAAGGGGCCCAGGCCCGCTAAACAGCTGACATTTATTAGATGCATTTAGCTGGGCCAAAAATGAGTGAAGTCATTTGGAAGCCATGGTGGCTCGGAATGGGACCAGGAGGGACGTCAAGGCCTCTGCCACTGGAGAAGGAAAGAGGAGTTTCCAATGCGGGCTCTTGGGGTTGGAGGAGGGAACAGGTGTCCCCGGGGACTCAGTGCTGCCTCATCCCACCCGCATGCAGCTGTCTGAGACCAGTTCTCATGCCTCTGCGAGCCGTCCTTTCTGCCATGGCACCTGCCACCTCTGGGCCAGCCCCATGACCTGCTTGTCCCATGGAGTGCTCGCTGCTGGCTCCCCAGCCCTCCTCCTCACTGCCAGCACCTAAGTGAGCGCTGCAGGCACAGAGCAGGTTCTTGGACTCCACCGTTCACCAAGCTCTTGTCCCTGCCTTGCTACTCAAAGACCTGGCACATGGGGCTAGAGGGACAGCTCAGTGCCAGCGTGCACCAGACAGGCACAGGGCTCTGGCTCAAAAAAAACATATAACAAGGGGAGAACTCAATAGCAGAAGCAAAGCCGCAGCCAAGCAGACACCGCTCGGTCCCCTGGAGCTGGCTGGGTCCCACCTGGAAGTCATTCCAAGAGAAACAGCCCTCAGACCAGGAAGGCCACAGCCAACCTCCTGGGGAAATGCAAATTAGCCGCATTCTGCTCTTGGCCTGCAGCTTCAGTGAAGAGAAACGGGTTTTGCTCAAGTTCTCACCCAGGGTGGGGGCTTTGGGAGGCCGTGTGGTGGGGGAGACACAGCCCTCCTGCTCTAGATAGGTGGCCTTAGGGACAGCCCCAAGACATGGCCCATGTCTTTTGCACCTTGCATGAACTTGGTGAGAAACCATCCAGGTCATCACTCATATGGAATCAGACAGCCCCAGACCATGAGAAATGAAGTCCCGTGCCAAAGCCCCCACCTGGTGCTATTCCAGCAACTGATGGGCTAAGATCAGGGAAGGGCTCCGCCTCCCCGAGCCCTCGTGCCTGTGTGTGGACTCCGGCAGTGCTGACTTTATAACCTAGGAACACAAAGCGCCCTCGCAGGAATTGCTCAGGTACACTGTGGAGAACACACCAGGCATCACCTGGTTCCAGCAGGACTCCGGCACTCGCTGAAATAGCTGATTATTTGATAATGAAGAGATAGGGAAGCTGGGCGTGGCGGCGCACACCTGGCATCACAGCACTCTTTGAGGCTGAGGCAGGAGGATCACACATCTGAGTCCAACCTGAGCAACTTAGCAATTTAGTGAGACCCAGCCCCAAAATTCAGACCTGAAGGGGGAAGGGGACTGAGACTATCCCGTGCACCACCCCTGGGGTGAATGATTACCCCGTGGGCCCAGAGGTTCTGCCCACGGATGCCCTTTTGTCTCCCAGGAAAGCGCCATAAACCATCAGACAGTGAGTCATGAGGTCCCGTGGCAGGGTGGTGCCCTCACAGGGCTGGGCTCTGCTCCTGAGAACTGCACTGGCCAAACAGGTTTCCATGGAGACAGGGCTGAGTCACACCCCAGCTTTCTCTCTGTCCAAAACACCTGGTTGCTTAGCGGGTTCCCTCCACTTGCTCATACAAGGCACTTCCCGGGGCCTCCGCCACGTCCCTGGCCCTGGCCTGTGGGTTCCGTGCTGGGCACAGCCGGCAGCAGGCTCCTCTGAGTCGGGGCGTGGCTGGGGTTTATGGTTTGTACACACGCAGTAAATGGTTCATTGCACCCAACCCCAAGCCCATATTCATAAGTCAAAGGCAATCTCGTGGGATCAAGGCAAGGACCTGGGCTAAGGTCCACGTGCAGGTCCCCAGCGCCCACAGGAGGCTCTCCTGACGCAGCCCTTGGAGCAGGAGAGGGAGGAGGGGCTGAGCAAGCAGGATGCACAGGAGAAGGAGACCAAGCAAAAAGGGAAAGTGAAGGGTGAGTAAAAAGAAGGAAAGTAAGCAGGAGAAAGCTATCCCTCCTGAGTGTCCACCCTACCCAAGGGTTAGAGACTGGGTCTTCAGGAATGCAAGCACAGCCCTTTTTATAGGAACACGACCCAGAAAAGCTAAATCTTGGAGATGGGCATATTTGTCCCTCTACAGATGCATGGATAAGAAAATATTTATACACAATGGAGTACTACTCTGCCATGAAGAAGGGCCAACTCCAGTCATCGGTAGGAATTGCCACGCCTCAAGACTATATTGTTGTGTGAAGTAGATGAGCCGAATGAGCTTAAATGCCACGTGGTTTCTCTTAATGAGAATACCAAAGCATAAATAATTAAAGAGCAAAATAAAATGTAGATAGCGGGCTGGTGAGATGGCTCAGTGGTCTAAAGCACCTACTTGGAAAAAGCTTGGCAATGCACAGGGACCGCGGTTCAATCCCCCAGCACCACATGCCAGCCAGCCCCGCCCCCTGGTGGGCTGAGCTGGCCACACACACACACACACACACACACACAAACAAATAAATAAAAAAAAAAAAAATAAAATAAAATAAAATGTAGATAGCAGGGCATGATGGTGCACACCTGTAATCCCGGCACTCCGGAGGCTGAGGCAGGAGGATTGCTGTGAGTTTGAGACCAACCTGGGCTACAAAGTAAATTCAGGACCAGCCTGAACTGCATAACGAAACCTCATCTAGAAAATAAATAGAGCCGGGCAGATAGCTCAGTAGAATAAGTGCTTGCCTGGCAAGTGCAAGGGCCTGAGTTCAATCCCTGGTTCTGGAAAAAAAAGAAAAGAAAAGAAAAGAAAAACAAATAAGTAAATAAGAAAGGTAAATGACAGGAACAGGAGGTAGACCTTTTGCAGTTCGGACCAGAATCCAGGGAAGTGGGGGAAAGGGGAGGGGAAGCAAAGAGGACCGAAGGAGTTCAGCGTGCACACCAGCTCCCCATGAGGGTGAGGCATTATGTATTGAAGCTGTGTATTCACTGAAAAAGAAAAGAAGTTGGTAGAAAAAGAATTTTTATTTATTTATTTATTTTTGCGGTACCAGGGATTGAATTTAGGACCGTGCGCTTGTCAGGCAAGCGCTTATTCTACTGAGCTATCTCCCTGACCCAGAAAAAGAATTTTTACAAATTGAAACTAACAGGCTGGCCAGATAGCTCAATGGACTAAAGCACCAGTTTAGGCAGGTGCAGGGACCCCCGTCCATCCCTGGAGTGCGGTGCTGGCCCCGCCCCCAGGGTCTGCTGAGATGGCAATTGAGCCTGGACTTGGTGCCTCGCTCCTGTAATCCCAGCGCTTGGGAGGCTGAAAAACAGGAAGGATCACTATGAGTCTGATCTGTGTAGTGAGACCCTGTAGACCTTGTACTAAATACATTTTTTAAAAAATTAAATTTAAATTTAAAAATTTAGACTGATTTTTTGTTTTGTTTTCAAGATAGGGGCTCCTGTGCCACTCAGGTTGGCCTCAAACTCAGTGCAATTCCCAGCCTCGGCCTCCCTAGTGCTAGGACAGAGAGTGTGTGCCACCACTCCAGCTCCTGGAGTCTCTATTTAACAGCAAAATGGAATTGCCAAAGAAGGCCAGGGAGAACAGAGAGCTGGTGCATATCTAAAAAGCAAGCGAGGGCCTAGGGAGATAGCTCAGTAGAATAAGTGCTTGCCTGGCAAGCACAAGATCCTGAGTTCAATCCCTGGTACCGCAAAAATAAATAAATAAAATAAATGCTTAAAAAATAAAAATAAAAATAAAAAATAAGCAAAACTCCAGCCAGAAAGAAGAAGGGAAATTGCCCAGAAACACGCTGTGGTGGCCAAGTTAAAGAGAGCGGGCTCAGATGAGCTGACACTTTGTGAATGATGAAGAAAGCAGCCTGGGCAAGGCAGCACACACCTGTGCTTCCAGCACTCCAGAGGCTGAGGCAGGAGAATCGCTGTGAGTTCAAGGCCAGCCTGGGCTACATAGCCAGACTCTGTTTCACTCCTTTCTTCCCCCCACCTCCAAAATATAGACAGGAAGAGAGGAAAAAGCCAGTTGGTTGGTCCCCAGAGATGA